TCTCCTCCCTCATAATCCTTGTTCGCTTCATCCCCCTAAATCCTCATCTCACCTGCTCACCTGCTCTCCTCCCTCATGAGGCCCTCCTTCATCCGAAAACGTTCCTGCGCCTCTAAGTTGTTCCACTCGAGTCCAAGCTCCCCCCCCCCGAGCCTGCAGCTCGTCCACCTTCGGTCGATCTTCGAACTTCTCACAGCTGTAGCGGAACTCGGGGATCTTGCCTTCGAAGCCTTGACAGGCGACGGCTCATCGTTGGTCGTCGTCGAGGCCGACGTCGGAGCCATCGTCGACGCCGTTGCCAGTGCCATCGTCGGGGCCGTATCGAGGCCGTCGTCGAAGCCGTCGTCGAAAGCGTCGTCGAGGCCGTCGTCTCAGCGTCTCCTCGCCCTCATCTTCGTCCTCAGTACCCGCGTCCTCTTTGTCCTCATCCTCAGGCTCATCCTCCTCATCGCCGTCGTCTTCGTCCTCGTTCTCATCCTTATCCTCCTCGATCCTCTTCGTGGTCCTCATCCTTGGCTCACGGGCGCCTTCCAGGAACGCGTGGTCCCCGTCGAAGTCGAGGAGAGCCTCGCTCGGATGGAGGCGGATTGGAGGAAAGTGGAGGAGGAAAGTAGAGAAGAATGAGGAGGAGGAGGAGGAGGAGTGGGATGAGGAGGAGGCGTTGAGTGGGACCCAGGAGGAGTGGGAGGAGCAGGAGGAGTGGGAAGAGTGGGAGGAGTGGGAGGAGTCGGATCCCAGGAGGAGGAGGAGGAGGATCGAGGAGTGAGAGGAGGAGTGGCAGGAGGAGCGGGAGGAGGAGAGAAGAAACAGGATGAGGAGTGGGAGGAGGAGCGGGAGGAAGAGGAGTGGGAGGAGTGGGAGGGGTGGGAGGAGGAGTAGTGGGAGGAGGAGGAGTGGGAGGAGGAGACTAGAGCAGAGCCTGAGCCACCAGTTCAGCATCCACTCGAACCGTGGCCTCGAACCTGAACTTCTTCGCCTTCGGGGTCATGTCGACGGAAGGAGCCTATCGGGGAAGAGCAGCGGCAGCGGCAGCAGAACCAGCAGCCGCGGGGGCCCAGGAATTAAGGCCGAGGCCACTTGGAGGACGGGGAAGGGGGCGAATCTGAAGAAGGAGGAGGGGGAACATTTCAAAGTTAGCATCCTGCTCGTGTGCGCCCTCTTCCTGATCCTCCTGCTGATCCTGATTCTCCTCCTGACTTTTCCTCCTCCTCACTTTCTTCTTCCTCCCTCGTTCTTCCTCCTCCTCATGTTCTTCCTCCTCCTCATGTTCTTCCTTCTCCCTCGTTTCTTCCTCCTCATTTATTCCGCTCCTCCTCCTACTTTTCCTTCTCTCCTCCTCAAGCTTTTCCTCCTCCTCATTTTCTTCCTCCTCCCTCGTCTCCTCGATCCTCCTCCTCCCGTTTCTGATCTCCTCCCCCAGTTAGTCCATCCACTGCCTGACGCAGTGATGGACACGCCTGCCGCGTCCCAGGCGCGCGGCTGCGGGCGTGGCCGTACGATCGGCGCGTCGAGGTCGGTGTGCCCCTCGATCCACACGAACGTGGTGTACCTCGAGCGCTCGCAGGCGCATGATCGGCCAATCCCGCAACCCCCATGGGGGTTGCGGGATTGGCCGACGCATGGGCCCACGACCCCCGTCGATCCCAAGGAAATGCCACCCTTGCTTTAGAATGGGCACCCGGCGGCCCACGCGCGCTGGATGAGCTCTTCGCTGATGGGCCCTGGGGCCGGCCAGCCGCGCGCCCAGGGCCCTGGGACATCTGCAGGAGGCAGGCAATGTACACTCCAAGGGCGGCCAGGCGGCCAATTGAACTGCAGAGCCTCCTCGAAGCTCCGCCGCCATGGGGCTGGCTGCACCCACGCTGGCTCTCCTGGCCACCTGGGCCCAGGCTGGGCGTGGACTGGCCAGCCCAGCGGGTCTGACCACGTGCGCGCATGTCGCGCGGAGACACGGCCGTGGCGGAGGACACGTGGAGTTCGCTCCCGCGGTCGCGAGCCACGCATATAACCCGAGGCGTTTCTCCTTTCGATCCATTGCTTTTCTGTTAGTCCTCCTCCTCCTCCTCCTCGTTTTCCTCCTTCCTCCTCTTCCTCCTACTTTTCCTCTTCCTCCTCCTCCTCCACATCCTTCCCTTCCTACCTCCACCTCCTGGGTCGACGGAAAAAGGCCTCGAGGTGCGGCCGCCGCCGCGAGCGGGGGGGCGCGGCGCCGCGCGGCGCCGCGCTCGCGAGAGTTCGGAGAACTCTCGAGCACAAATGGCTGCCCGCGCGCGCGGTCGCGCGCTGGCAAGCGGGGGGATGTCAAGGACAGGCTGTCGAGCTGGAGAAGGGGAGAAAAGAGAAATATGAGGTTGGAAAGATAAAGGAATGTTAAGCGAACCGCCGCTGCTGGCCTGGACAAGCTCATTAATGGGTCACTGCCGTCGGGGGGTGGGTGAAAGGGGGGAACAAGATGAACGCCAGGATGGGGCACCGAGTAATAACACCAGTATAGTAGTATTAATAGTCGTAGTAGTAGTCGTACTAGTAGTACTAGTAGTCGTAGTAGTAGTAGTAGTAGTAGTAGTAGTAGTAGTAGTAGTAGTAGTAGCGGTGGTAGTCGTAGTAGTAGTAGTAGTAGTAGTAGTAGTAGTAGTAGTAGTAGTAGTGGTAGTAGTAGTAGATTATTAAAATATAAAATGCCGACGCGTTCCTTCGGCCTCTTTAAAGGGCCCCAGAAATTTTCGATTTCGTTTTTGGAATTACATGCAGATTTATTAATGGTGAATAATATAGCAGCGAAGCTTAGCGGTAGGTACTAGCCGTAGTCGTAGTCGTAGTCGTAGTCGTAGCCGTAGTCGTAGCCGTAGTCGTATAGTAGTCGTCGTAGTCGTAGTAGTAGTAATAATAGTAGTCATGCCATGTCATAAATGCCATTAAAGACACATCATGCTAATGGGTGTGGTCTGAAAACGAAACTCACGACAGCAAAGCAAAACTCACGACATCAAAACAAAACTCACGACATCATAACAAAACTCACGACAACTTTGAGAAAAGCCACGATCTCACGACAATGCAAAATACTCACGACAAATGAGGCGTCATGAGAAACTCATGACGGTGGAGGTCAGGGGTGTGGCCTACGTTCTCAGGCGTGTAAGATGTCTAGGAAAGTGCCTATACGAAGGAGGCAGCCACAGCAGTCGTCGCGGGTGCAGCTTGTCCCAGCCAAGTCCAGCCGTCGACGAGTAGGCCCCCAGGACACGGTCAAGTTGCTCCAGAGTGAGGGGCGGAAGGGGCTCTAAGGGGTAGAGCGCCGCGCTGGACCCCCCAGGAGAGGGGTTGCCATCAGCGGCAAGACTGGCGCTCATACCTGCCCCGTGCCCAGGCAAAACAGTGTCACGACAGAGTGCCTCAAGGTCCCAGGCCTCAGGAGGTTCCTCATGCATCCTACAAGGAGCAACCCAGAGGGGCTCCCAGTCCTCCAAAATCTTGTCAAGAGCTTGAGAACCTGCAACTGGGAGGGGGGGGGGGGGCACCATCCAAAGGCTGCGAAGCGACGACCGAGGGCCCCACACTGTCACGAACGAAGCGATAGGCCGCGCTGCCGCCCTCATCCCGAGCCGCGGCCTGAGACCAGGCCTCCCAGGCCTTGGCGCAGTCTTGTTTGCCCCTGAACAGGAGAGCCTGGAGGTGGTCCCGCAGCCCCTGTAAAAAGGCATTCACTTCTTGAATGAGGCCTAGCGGGCCGTCGGCGAGGAACCTAACCAAGTCAGGAAGAGGACGGCCCCCCCAGGGTCCGAGGGCCTCCGAGTCTGGCCAGGAGACAATCTTAAAACCAGCGGCCGTGCGCCTCTGTCTGCGGAGGGCGGCCAGGTTGGGCTCTCGTCGATCTCCGGCAGCGGGCCCCAGGGCCGCCCGGCGAAAGCGCGCCGAATAGAACCTGGACCAGGATTTGCACTCCGCAGAGGTGTGTTGCCTGAGCGAATCACGCCAGGCGACTTCCAGAGGTTTGACAACGGTTGCAAATCCTTGGGGCGCGGCCTCGCCATCGCCCTTGGCTCCATTCGGCCAGGTCATGAAACTGAGCAAGGTACGCCTCAACATGCCCAAACCATTCAGCACGCGCCTCGCCGATAGCGCTCGGGAGAGCCTCGCCAATCTCCCAAGACCAGGGCAGCTTTTCGCGAGGCGCGGGCCTCACAGGGGGAGGCTTGACAAGCGGAAAGAGCAGGGGAAGCAGCGGCACGCAGACAGCGGCCTTGGCACCACGGCCAACAAACTTGACTGAGACGACAGAGTGGGTCTGCACAGGCGCGGCGGGAAGCAGTCCCACCGAGTCCACGAACTTGGCCAGGACCTCGCTGCACACCCCGAAATCGATCTAGCGAGCACCACAGGTAGGCTGGAAAGGTCGAAGCACAGCTCCGTGGACTTTGTCCGCCCAGCTCTCAACGCCCGCGGGTGCCATGTTCCAATCTCCCAAGACAACCCATGGGGCGCGCAGGGCCCCCAGGTGGACGACCAGGGCCGCCAGGGTGTCCAGGTTGTCCTCGGCGAGCCCGATGGACGTGACCAGGTGCAGGGAGATGACGTAGAGCGGGACAGGCAGCCCGATGGTGACTTTCACCGTGTGCACGCGATGGGTCGGTACGTCCAGAGTGGCCAGCTGAGCCTCAGCAACAGCTGGCAGCCGTGAGAGCACGGCCACACCTCCTGAAGAACTGAGCACCCCGTCGCCAGTACTCACCGCCTTGCCACCGTGCGTGCCCAATCCGCGCTGCGCCGCCCAGCGTCGAGCTGAGCTCCAGAGACCGTCCTGCTTGATCCTGTGCTCCTGGAGGCAGAGGCAACGCGGGACACCCGTGTCCTGGTCGTACTTCAGCCACTCCATGAGCGCCTGACAAGTTGACCACTGCGAAGAGTTGACTGACATCAATCCCAGCTTTGCAGAAACATCAATCACGGCATCCTCGTGCCGCGGCTGCTGTAGGCCCGACCAGCCAGGCTGAGGGCCATCACCCCAACCGTGTCCTCTTGGCGGCCGTGTCGCCGAGAAATTCCAACAAGCGCTTGAACTTGGCGCTGTCGGCGGCGACATCGAACCCAGCTACCGCGAACGCCGTGGTAACCTCGTCATCCTCGGGGTCAAACTCGACCTTGACGCCAGCATCGGACATGGTCTCATCCTGGCTTTCTCCTGGTGGGCCTCCGCCAGCAGCAGCAGCGGCCCCAGCCCCATGAGGAACAGCACCTGGAGGCCCAGCAGGAGCTGGAGGGGGAGCGCGAGCCTGTAGCTTGGCCCTGGCCTCCTGCGCCTTGGCGCCGACCACCTCCGTCTGGGCCGAGAAGTCGAGCCCGAAGCGGGTGGCGGCTTTGCCCAGCAAGGCCGAGAGAGTCTCGAGGCTGGCGACAGTGGCTGCGGGATCGTCCTCATCCTCATTCTTGACCTCTGGCACGAAGGCCTTGGCCTGGGCATATCTGATCGCGGCTTCGGTCTTAGCAAGAGACTCCGCATGATCAGCGATGGTTTGATTTGCGTCATCCAGCTGCTTCTGGGTCTGGGCGAGGGCGTCGCGGCAGACAGCCCCGCGGGCTTGCGCAGCTGTGAGTTGCTTCTCCTTCTTTGAGCGTCGCTGGAGCAAGTCCTGGACGCTCTTGGAGGTGAGGTCTGCAAGCTGCGGTTGCGGCTCAGGAGGAGAAGCTTCCGCATGCTGACGCAGCTCTGAGAGGTCCTTGCCAGAGCTCGCTGCAAACTCCTGAATGGCCCGCACAACCAGCTTCTTGTTCGTGGGAGGGGTCTGCGCGGTCCGCGGCAGACCATTGGCCCAGTTGCCTCTGGGAGGCGGCGGAAACCATGGGACGGCACTGTCAGGGAACCGTAACTGTTTGAGCACTCGCTGGGGCGCCCGTTGACCACAGTCACGGCACTGGTTGCGCCACATGAAATTGCCGAATCCACATCCTTTCCGAGAGCAGACCCAGGTCTTCTTCGAATAGGAGGCGGCATCCGAACTCATCGGGTTCTCGTGGGTGGCTCTGAACCGCTGCGCCACTTTCACGTGCGCGGTTCAAAAGGAAAGCAATTAGTTCGAAACCTGGAAATGGCTGAGGAGAAGGAGGAGGAGGAGGAGGAGGAGGAGGAGGAGGAGGGGCCGAGATACCATGGTCCAGAGGGGATGGGGACTGGCTCAAGGATACGGACCCTCCACTCGCCATCGCTCGGACGTCCATTCCCTGTGTTTTTGTTCGGTTTCGTGCGTGGTTCTTTCGCCAAATGATCAAGGATGCTCCTCGACAGTCCTCGCCGAAGGAAAAATGCACACGTCCGAGCGATGCCAAGTCCATGATCAACTAGACCAAGCAAAGAGGCGGAGAAGCGTCTGAAGCAGTAAGAGAAGGAGCTGGAGCTAAGACGACGGCAGAAACGAGACAACATCGGATCGATATGAATAGGAAATCTCTGAGACTCGTTGGGTTTTGGAAATGCATTGGGCACCGCGGCCGTTTCAGAGCGTTGAGGAACGGATTTACCTCAATTCTAGGCCTGTCCAAGGAATAGTAAAGGTACGTGTAATAGTACTTGCAGTAGTTTTGGCATGGATGCCATCGTTTGCGGTCAGGACGCAATAGTTGCGCGTAGATGGCATCGTTCGTCAAACGAACATGGCTGACGCCCCCTGCATCAGTTCGTGACCCCCGCCAGTAGTTCGCGCAAGAGTTCGCGCAAGCGAACTGTTGCATCTCCCACCGCTCCCCCATTTGAGTATCGTTTAATCGATCCCCGTCCCCAGCGGCGTGGCCTGGGCCCCACTGGCCGATCTGCCCCCCTAGATGGGGAGAGAGGTCGTGAAATTTGAAGCTTCGAGGGGTGTATCCCCAACTGGGGTGGTAATTTGGTGGGGGTCTCGAATCGGGAGCGCGCAAACATGGATTAGCGATCGTTGGATTTGGCGCGCGGGCGCCAAATCCATGCATCGGGGGAGGTGTCCTCCCCAAAATGCCGCCGGTGCCGCCTCGCTCGGCGGCGGAAATCCGCGATTTCCCACGGAAACGGGACCCGTCGCTAATCCACGCCCCCTTGATCCATGTTTCGGGGAGACGTAAGACCCGGGTACGGGGGACTCGGAAATCCCCGACGAGGTCGTCAAAAAAATGACGAGGCCGAGCCTGCATTTTGACGAGGCCTCCCGCTGCAGACATCCCACGCAACTCCTCCTCGTCAAAATCCGAGGCGCGGTCGTCAAAAAACGATGGCGAACCCGAGTCCCGGCAAACCCGGGTCTTACGCTCCCCCGAATGTTTGCGATCGCCTGAGAGCAGGCGCGGGGCCCCCGGCTCCTCGCAGCGAGGCGCAGGCGGCGGCCCCCAGGCCCGCCAGGACCAGGCGGCCCAGGGGCCCGCAGAAGGTGCCGTAGCCTCGGCGCCGGCAGGGCGGGCGGCGGCGGAGGGGCGACGGAAGCAGCGGACCGCAGGGAGAACGCCCGCACCCTCTCGCCTCACTTCCCCTCTCTCGCCATCGCTCGGACGTCCATTCCCTGTGTTTTTTTTTTTGGTTTCGTGCGCGGCTTTTTCGCCAAAGGATCAAGGATGCTCCTCGATG